GTTCATGTCTGAGGCTAAAACGGCATTGAGTTTGGGTGGCCTTTCGGCAAACTCAATAAATCACGACAAATCATTTGCCCCAAAGGAATGGAAACAGCAAATTAGGCTATTTAGTGATTAGGCACAGAACTAATCAACAACGCTGATATTTTCTAAGAACCACAGAATTAGATTTGCCGTTTGACCACCCAGAGTGTAGCAGTACTGTAGCAGGATCGGGCGCTATACTATATTCAACACATTTCCCAGGGCCAAACTTCTCTCTCTGTTATGAAACAGTCCCTTCCTGTATTTTTATAATTGCATGGTTGTATACATTTGTGGGGTATGAAATAAGGTTTGACGAAGGTAACAAGGATTTGATATTCTCCTAAAATATTTGTAGTACTGAAACGGTAAGACGCCTCGAAATTCGGTTCCTTGTATGAAAAGCTTTACATGTAGGTGTTCTCCTGTAGGTCTGCACATAACGTTACATATGCATGCTCCTGCACTGTAGGACTGAGTGGAACTGAATAATGATGTAGAACAAACAAACGTCCCAAAATACCAACACCGCAAACAATTATAACGTCTTGTTGACGAGCATATGAAAACATCCTGGCGGCCTTACTTGTCATGGTTGGTGATTAGTTTTTGATAGAAGAAGTGAATGTTCTCCATCCATAGTTTCGCATCGACAGGGTGGATTCGCGCCATTCACCTCCACCCAAAGCCGACTGAGTGGGCTTAATCTCTTCCTTATTATTAGTTCTAAAAGGGTAATCGCACAAAAGCTCTCCAAAGTGTCCCAGAGTGATCTTTTCTTTAAGGATTTTTGAGCACGCAACGACTTCGACCTCAAACCGTGCCCCAATTTCGTCGAGTAGCTCGCCAAGATCGTGGAGCGCACGCGATGTGATCCTTATCTGGGATCCAGCGCCGCCTCAAGGTCCCGGGATCCTGCACTTGTCTGTGTGTGCGGGCGGCAATGTACCTCACGTTCATATGGACTAATATAAGGACAATGTAGATGTAGATAGACTTCAGCGGTTCTTAGCACTAAATCGGGAATGTCTATTCCTGAATGATTCAACGGCAACTACAATACTACGTCCATTAAAAAGTATATTAAGGCGATAGAAGTTGTGGTCACCACCTTATGAGTTCAAACCGTACACGGACAGGGCAAATTTGGCCGGGAGAGAAACACGGTAATGGGATCGAGTTCGTCTTTCCTCTTGGGCAGATTTTGATTGTTGTTTGCGCACGCTTTCAACAATATATTTCAGCCCCACGAAGTCCTGTGAAGCTAGGCCGGAGACTCAGACAGGTCCCTGTTTATTTGTTTGTTCTAACGTTATCTCCGTTGGTGGAGAGATGGACAGCCGGGGGAAAATTCCGCCGACAGATTAACCTGTTTTGTCCACAAAGACAGCTGTGATTGACAGTAGCTCGTACAAACAAACTTGTCCTGTGGGTCGGGATCGTAGCAACCGCGAAGCTCGCAATGTGTGTCTGAACAATGAAGTGTTGGGGGGGGCAGTAGGTAACAGAGTCACACGCGCGTCTATGGGCCCGTATATGTTTTTATTTTCCTC